TGCCTACCTCCTGTCTAGAGCAGAAGCTACAGAAGGACAGGAGTCATGATTAGTTCTGTTTCTCTTTATTTTCCCAGCATCTAGTGCAGTGCCTGGAGTGTAGTGGAAGTTCCAGGAATAGTCAGCTGAGAAGTTATTTGAGGACTCACGGCCCATCCTCACTAAAGATACCTACTAAGCAGGTCTTGTTCACTGACAAACCTGGCACACAGTAGACAGTTAATGAATGTATCGTGGATGCTGAAATGAACAAACCTCTTTAAATCCCAGCTTTATTGTGAAGGTCCGCTGCTGAAGACCCTGCCCTGTTTCCCACTTGCTCTGTGATGCAAATGCCCTGACAGGCCTGTGCCTCTCTGCACCCACCCTCCTTACCTCTTGTCCCCCTCCCACACTCCTCTGCTCCCGTCCAGACCGACTCTCCCCTCCCCGGGATGCCCAGGATGTGCTGGTCCCACCTGCAGTCCTCTGCCGGGGCTCAGGCACTCCGTTTTCTCTTCCTTCAAAGTTCTGCCTCAACTTCCTTCTTTTCTAAGCCCCTCTAAAAAAGAGTGTGAGTGTGTGTCTGTGTGTGTGTTTACAGCACTTTGTACTTACAGAAGATGTTTATTTGGGAAAAGACTTTTCATACATGATATTATTCAAGACCAACAGTAACAAGACCGGCAGTACAGACATTGTACAAGTGTGCAGATTGGAAGCCAAAGCTCAGGGAAGTTTCACTGGTAACTGACGTGCCTGGGGACTGTGACCTCCAGTAAGGAAAGAAAGAGGAGAGAGAAATAGAGATGAGAGACCGAGGGAGAACAAGAGGGGAAAAGGAGGTAGAAAATGAGTGTATTGCAACTACAAGCATTGTTGGTGAAACTTGTTCTGTGTGTGTGTGTGTGTGTGTGTGTGTGTGTGTGTGTGTGTGTGTGTGTGTGTACACAAGCCAGCTAGGTTATGGTGTAAAACATAGTTCTTACTCTGGGCCATGATCAAAGTGCTGGGGCTACCTGGCCTGCTTCAGCTCCGCCGGTCCGAGTGCCGCTGGGATGGACCAGGGCGGTGCAGAGGCCGCAGCCAGCCCCAGACTGGGGAGTCTCAGTGGAACTCAGCAGGGCCAGCCCCACTCCAGGGAAGCCAGGTGGTCTGGGGAAACCAGCAGAGGCTTGTGGTGTCCGTTGTGTGAGGTGCTATCGGCTGTTCCAGAGAGGCCTCGGCTATGGCATTGTTTGTGGGGAGAAGCTGATGGCCATGTGGGGTGGGATAGGAGTTCCAGTTTGGGATGCCAGCTGTTTCAGGGCACGCCACCCCAGTGTACCAATCCTGTGTGGCTCAGGGCGGTGCTTCTCAAAGCATGGTTCCCAGGCCAGCAACATCAGTCTCACCTGGACACTTGTCAGGAATGTGAACTCTCAGGTCCCACTCCAGACCTCCACAATCAGAAACTGAGGAAAGGCTGAGCAATCTGGGTTTTACAAGCCCTCTGGGTGATTCTCCAGGCACAAAGTTTGGGAGCCACTCTCCTAGGGGTTGCCCGTTTGGCATTCTGTGTCTGCTGTGTCAGAGTACCTAGTCTGGGTCTGGTCTAAAAGCAGGCTTGTTGGGAAACAGAAGTGTGAGGCCTCCTGCCCAGGCCTTTTGATATAAAACCCAGCGTTCTCCCCGCAGCTCATGCACCACATGTATGCACGTGCTTATGTCTGAAAGAACACTGGGTTTATCCTTTCTGTGTGCCTTCCACACTGCTGGACTTGGCCTGCACTGGGTTCATTGATAAGGTCCATTCGTATATATTGCATTGAAAATGTTCTCAAGTCTCATGTGTGTATGAGTGTGCAAACTCATGTATATGTGCCTGTTCTGTCTTTTCTGTTAGACAAAGCGTTCCCCTGGCAGAGCCTGAATCCTGCCTGCCTTGATCTCGTTTCCCCTCCGGCTGGGCCTCAGTATACAAACATCTGATCAAGCACCTGACTCACTCTCTAACCGTGGCCTTGCAGCCCTCCCTCAGGCCGAGGTTCCCAAACATGCTCATGGCCCCTATAACCTTGAGGTAACCTTGATGCACCTACCCAGCACCTGCAGCCTACTTCCGCTCCACAGGACATCTACCTGTCGCCTAATGAGAGAGGAGCTCTGCGTGGGTGCCGGCTCCCAGCACAGAGAGCCTTTACCACCCACTTCCTGTGTTGATTTGTATTGTGCTTCTGGGTCCTTGGTGTCTGAGTGAGCTGTTCACACTCACAACTACTTCCCACTACTGCTTGAAGCTCAGTTTCCACATGTGTGATAATGTGATAAAAATAACTAACACATAAAGGCTGTTTAGAGGATGAAAGGAAATGATGTGTGTGAAGAACTCAGCACAGGGCATGGCCCGTAGTGAGTACCTGATAAACGGCCCATAAAGGGCTCAGGCAGAGTTTTCCCCTTAGAGAGCCAGGCAAGGGCCTGTCCTTTGCGAACCTGAATCTCTGACGGGAGGGTGTGTGGTCCGGGGGAGAGACTCCAGGTTTGGTGTCCACAGAGGTGGCTTCAGAGCCTGCTCCTGCCTGTTACTCTCTCTGGAATCATGAGCAAGGAACGAAGCCTGTTTCCTCATCCCCCCCAAAAATATGGCCAGGGATGATGGTGACTGCCCCACATAAGGTGTTTTGAGGATTAAATAGAATTAAATGGGAAATTAAGTTAAATATAAAGATTCGGTGAAATGCAATGTGGATGTTGTAGAGCGGTATAGATTGGTAAGTACTCTGCCTATGTTACTGCTATTTTCCCTCGGTGCCCAGGGAGATGCCAGACACTTCCTGAAGCCGATTCACGAAGTGGGCCCCTGTGGAGCTCTGCTCTGAAGTTGCGGGAGACCCAGAGAAAGCAGAACCAGATCTCTGTCCAGGTCAGAGGAAGAGAGCACCCAGGTTAGTGAAAGAACAAGAGAAACCCCAACCCCTTCTTGGCACCCCAACGACGCTCGGCAGAACGACTAATTTTTCTGTGGAATGTGGGTAATGAACTCCAAGATAAGTGATTGTGTCTAGTATCTGGAATAAATAGAGGCTTACCCTAATCCATGAACTGCGAAGTACAATTACTGAGAAAAATCTACATGAGCTGATGCTAAGCAGCCATCCACCCAGGAACCACCAGTGGTCACTTTGGTGAGAAGCCTGGAAAACACTCGGGCAGGCTGCCTGTGGAGCTGGGGTTGGGGAGCCCATGTAGTAGAAATATAAGCAAGCTGCAAAGTGAAATAACATGTGGGCCGCCTTGCCTGGAAGTGTCCCAGCCCCCATCCGACTGTCACACACAGGGGAGAACCCCAGCCATCTCATCTTTAAAGTCAAAGGGTCACAGCCTAGGCACTGTCCTCTCTGTTCTCAGGGCTAGTCTGGCTGTGTGGGTTTCAAGTGCATAAGATCATATTTTCTACCCTCTGAACCTTGTAAGGCAACATGAGAACTCATGGTCAGGAGGTATTTACCTACCTAGGGTAAACCGAGTTAACCATCAAAGCTTAGTGGCTAGGACAAGCGGACACTGGGAACCCATAGTATGTCCCAGCACCTGGAGGGATAGGAAGGGACACCTGAATAGGTCCATGGTACGAGAAGCAACAGGAAGTCAAGGGAGTGGAGAGGAGTTTGGGTGACAGTGACGGGTTTGTCTGCTCCATAAAACCCGGAAGCTAGGAGATGCCTCACTGCCGCACACCATCATAGCTGAGACTCCTGCTGTAGCCTGCTAGTGCTCCTGAGAAGTAGCCCTAAGCCTCCTCCAAAGTGCCTCTTCTGCGCCTGCAACACATCAAGGGAAATGGATAACTGTGGGACGAATAGGAGAGGAGAAAACCAAGAGTAATTCCTGCCTCTTCCAGGGCACACTCCCGACCCCGCCTGCTTCCCATCATCATCACGACCCTAACCACACCCACACATTTGCCCTGCGGTCCTCACCATCTCCCACAGCCCCAGCAGGCACCCTCCCCTCCAGGCACGTCAGATCCCCACTCTCCCCAAAGCTTCCATGTCTGGATCCCAGCTGCTTTTTCCATGAAGTCTGCCCTGACCTTTGAGTAGAGTAGTTCTCTGATGGCGTGAAGCCGTCCTGTTTTCAGCATTGTCCTCTGAGTATTTTCCATCAGGACTTGGACCGACCCAAGAACAGCATGCTTACCTACACTGTCATCACATCACCGGGTGATGAATCAGGATTTCAAAACTTTCCCATTCTAGGCTGATATGATGGGCCAGACCATCAAAAGTAAATCTGTTAGGCATGTTGTCAAAGGGAGTATGAGCCCACAGGGTGGACCAATTTAATGGCAGTTATAAAAGGATGGGGTCTTGAGCAAGAAAACTCTTATCTTCCTATATTTTGTCCTAGTCAGACAGCATCTGGACCATCAGCCAGGAATCACCCAAAGGTCAAAGAACAGACTGACAGGGGACCCAGAAACCACATGGCTGATGACATCAGGGATGTGCATTTGGGAGAAGACAGCACTAATGGGGATATGATCGCTGTCTTCAGAGGCACGTATTTAGAAGGGGAGCTTGACAGTTGGGACGGAAGACAGAGCCAGGGACTCTGCGGATGAGTTACAGGAAGGCATATTTTGACTCAGCATGAGGAATACTTTTCTAATGATCTAATCATCCTACATTAAAACACCATCTCTTGAAAGGAACAAGTTCCTCACCCTTGGTGATGTTTGTCAATACCGTGTGAACATCTGACGAGAATGTTAGTGGCAAGAGTCTCGCATCTGCTGGTGATGGCGGGCGGGGCTGGGCAGGGAGGAAGACGGACTGGGCTAGCTTCCAGATTCCCTTCCGACCCCTGTGTGATTCTAGATACTGTATTTCTTCCTGACCAATATCTCTAGACTAGAAAAAGCCAAGCTGACAATATCAACGGGTTGGTGGGGCAGGGATGTTGGGGATGGGGCTGGGAGAACGGGGAGCACCCCACAAGCTTGGGCCACAGGAAACATTGGGTCAGCTTCCTCCCAAAGGTTTCCGGACCAGACATGCAGGAAGGGAGCTCCCAACTCTCATCCTGGGACTCCTCCTTCTTGAAAACCGTTGCTGAAGGCACCGAATGAAGAGAGGAAAGACAGGCCCCAACAGCACCAACTGAAGCGGAAAATTCCTCCGATTGCTGAAAGCCAGGTAAGGTGTATCTAGTGGGGGTGAAGTAGGGGTGGTAAGCAAGATGTATAGGACGGAAAAGTGGGCAGAGGGTGGTGGAGGGAAAAGGGAGGGGAAAGAATGGGGGTGGGGTGGGGGGAAGAATCCCCGCAAATGGCAATTTAGCTGGAAAGGGGGGCAAACAAGGGGAGAGAAGCAGCATGTCACGCATTGGTTCTTCTGTGTGTACATCGTCTTTACATCACTGCGGCCCAAGAGAGGAGATGCCCTCTCCTGGAAGAGAAAGCGCAAGGATGAGACTTGGAGGGGAAACTGATCAGTGTCTACAAAGGTGCTTCTTAAAGGGAGGGGTCCTCAGACAGAGCAGAGTTGAGGGAAAGGAAAAGAGTCACATGAGCCTGTAAGAGCGGCAGCCTGGGGTCGTAGAGAAAACACCGAATGTGGAGACAGGATACCTGGGTTCGAGTTCCAGCTCTGCCACTGGGTAGCTGTGGATCCAGGAGCCATTACTCTCCCTCTCTGGGCCACACGGTCCTCTTATGTAAAGACCTGCTCTGCCTGGATAGTCTATGATGTTGTTAATTTAAGTGCCACCAAGTTAATCTGTAGCTAGAGCATCATTATTTTTGAGTCAGAAAATAACTTTGTGACTGTTTACGTTTCTGTCTGTAGCAACCTGGGTAATTTCATTTTTGTCTTCTAGTAACGTTTTTGTGTTCCCTTTGAAAATTTCTGACCTATCTCTTCTGAACTTGCGCTGGAAAGGAAAGGGGTTTTGCCCCTGCCTGGGAAAGGTGATAGTAGTAAGTAGCGCCCTGCTTTGCCTGAGACTGAGGGGTTTCCCAAGACGAGGGACTTTCACTGCTGGATGACTGGTTGCCCTGGTGGCAAGAAAGATGCAGGTTCCCAGGCAGCCTGGAGGAGAGGATCTGGAAGGGCCTCTCCTGTTCCCTTTCTATCTGGAGTTTCCCTCCTGGCCCCACTGGCTGGTGGGGTGGTTTTCATTATAAGGTCTGTCTTACTGAGAGGGTGGTGGAGGGAGGTACAGGGAGAGGTGAGGGGTGATGTTCAAACCAGTCAGAAATGCCATTGAAGCAAAAATTGCCAGGAAAGAGGCTGAAATGCTTGACTAGCGCTGATACTGTGGGGATTTTCCCTTTTTCTTCAAAAAAAAAAACAACAGAAAAGACCCAGTGGAAAAAAAAGTGATGAGTTGTGAGGCAGGCAGTGGGTCCTACGCAGCCCCAGGAGACAGTGCGTAGCTCATTTGTTTAAATTTGCAGCTGACGGCTGCCATCGCTCCTTAGGCACCAGGCAGCGAGCCTCAACATCAGATGGTGACCGGTCTGGTGACGTACGGCTACAGCCATGAACTACCCCCTAACCTTGGACATGGATCTCATAAACTACAACCTGGAGGACCTGGTGAGTAGGGACAGAGAGCTCATGGTCATCAGGCCCTACTCAGAATTCTAAGTGCCCTGTGCCCAGGGCCCAGGGAAGAGGGGCTGGCTGTGGGGTCCTCTCCCACTGCGGATTGCCAGAATCTAGGGTCTATGCCACCTGCCTTTAAAGATTTGATTTCCTATTCAGTTAGGAAGCAGATAAGCAGAGCTGCGGCCTTAAATAGACATCCTTTACAGGGTTGGAAGTATGCGTTCAGATCCATGACTTGTTAGGAGGCCCGAGACAAGCCACACGGCCTCTCCATTCCTCTCCTTATCTCTTGGGGCTGGAACAAGGGCCTGGACGGAAAGGCAGTTTGAAGGTTTTCTTCATGTCAGGAGGCTGGTGTTGCTAGTTGACCTATCAGTGGAGATTTATCCATCTCTTGCTGCATGACCATCAGGGCGCCACGTACTGTGCTGGGTGGAGAAGTTGAGGACCTGGTCCTGGCCCTCAAGTAGCTTATGGTCTGTCCAAGAACAATAACATTACTGGAAGCTCTTAGATGTGATTCTGTGCTCAACTCAGGAAGTGTGAGGCCAGCTGGCCAGCAAGGGTGAGGACCCCAGGGGGCTGGAGGCAGCGGTCAGATGGGGCCAAGGTGGGAGAACTCTGCGTCAGCCCGAGAAATGCATTTGAGCATGTTGTGGTCTCCCTCAAACGACTGGAAACTAGAGATAAGGTGTTCTTGGGGGGCTAAGAAAATGGCCCCCCATCGCTCTTTGCCAGCCACCCCTGTCTTTCCCGTTAAGCAGAGGGGTTCATTCAGTTGGTGTTTTTGTCACTGGGCTCCCAAAGGACTGGGTGGGGAAAGTCCAACCCGAGATCCTAGGGCTCCTTGTCAGGGGCGGCGGGCTGTGTGTCAGAATGTGAGGACAACTTCTCTGTGGCCCTTTCTCCCGCGCTCCCGGGACCAGCGGTGCTTTAGGGAAAAGACTTCTCACTGAGCTGCACCCTGGGCTGGCTCACAGAGGAGCCACATCCTTTCTCCTGTATCTACCAGCTCTCCTGCCCCTAAACTCGCCCTGAGATGTTCTCTGACCCCTTCCAGCTCCCCGGCAGGAGTCTATACTGTGGCTCTACCACCCATGTTTCCAGAGTTGCTTGCAAAAGCCTGCCTCTTGCTTGCCCAGATCCTGAGGCTTGAAAGTACAAGCAGAACATGGGGAGAAGGTGAGCGGCAGGGCTAGTTGCACAAAGTCTGGCCTCTCAATCCCAATCCCTGGGTAAAAGCGCAGCCAGAACTGAGAGTCCAATCAGACCTGCTACCCAGTTTGTGGGACCCAAGTACAAAATAAAAATGCAGGGCCCCTTGTTCAAAAATTACTAAGAATTTCAAGATAGCAACGGCAGAGCCCTAAACCAAGCCCAGGGCTCTCCTGGCAGGGCCCCATATGACTGCTCTGGTCATGAAGCCATGAAGCTGATGCTGAGTCTAATCATAGAGTCCGGGCAATACCCCAAATCAGACAAAAACTCCTCTGCCCTGAGTGGGCAATGTGCTCCCACCCTGGCCCTCAGTCCCAACCCCTGGCCTCACCTGATTAGGACACTGAGTGTCTTCCTCTGCCCACAGCTTCAAGCTGACCACGAGCCCTGACCCAGTTGGATATCATAGTAAGCAACTCAAGACCCAGCCGGCCCTGGCTTCTGAGAAACCTCAATAGTTTCCCCTAACTGCTTGGCTCACTCCACTGCGTGACCTACTAGAGACAGGTGGTGGCAGCGGGTAGGGAGACAACAGGACATGTCCCATATATTAAAGAAAACTTACAGCCCAGAGAGAGAGACCTGGTGACCTGCTTCATGCCACACCTCAGATGAGTGGCGTCAGGCCAGGCATCCCAGCAGGCCTGAACCCCCGCAGTCAGGGTCTGAGCCAGGGGCCCAGGGGTCCTGGGATGGTCAGCCTCTTCTTCCCCAGCAGCCAGTGCCACGTCCTGCCCTCCCTTGCTGTTCTCTCTCTCTGGGACTGTTGCCCCGCAGAAGCGCACCTCCCCTCCTTCCCCACTGCTCACCTGGAGTACTTTGGCAGTCCCCCTGGCAGCGTCTCCAGCACAGAGGCACGGGTGGCAGAGGCAGGAGGGTCTTGCACATAGTAGCTTCTCAATAAGTATTTGCTGATTTGTGACGCACTGAAGGTCTTAGCTCCCCATTTCTCTCTGGAGCTAGTCTAGTTTCTACTCCTTTTTGCCTCCTGTTCCCCTCCCTGTCCTTGTCCAAGCCAAGTATGGGTACATTCTGCTGCACACTGGGTTCTGCACTCCACTGTTGAGTTAGGAACTGGGGGCTCCGGAGCATAAGCCAAATATTGGGCCACCCTGTCTCCCCTATCTCCTCTTGAATTCTAAGGCCAACTCAAGCTACTTAAAATGTCCATTTTCTTAAGATGGGCTGCTAATTCCCAGGAATGGGAGACCCAAACAGAACATTTCTAGATGGCTAAGTACCAGGAACAAGGAGCCAGGTCCCTGGGGTGGGCATGCCAGGGACCTGCCCTGCTAGGAAGGCAGATCCAGGCAGACCTAGAAAAGTCTCTGTCCACAGGAACCTTAGTCTGAGAGCGTGAAGCCTCTTCTTACCAGAACTGGGGCCTGGGCTGGGCATCTCCAGGGGCTGGACACACACTACACCTCCAGCCCCACCCTGCACACCAGCCAGGAGGGGAAGTCGCTGCAGACCAGTGCAAAGCTGACTTCTCCGAATGCCTCCCGAGTAGTGACCCCCGCGAACCATGACTTCAGTGTAATCAGAGCACTGCAGGTTGCCAGGGATGCGGCACGGAGAACCAGGACCCAAGAATAAGTAGGCTTTCAGGAATGACAGAAAAAAATATTTCAAATCAGTACTAACCCAGGAGATGGTTTCAGGAGGTTGCTGAACGCACTTAGCAGACATGCCTACCTGTCCCTCAGACTGTACAACTCTGTCCCCAAAGTGCAAATTGATTTTGGGGTGCCAAGAGGGAACTTCCCCATTAAACCTAAAGACTCAGAGCAAAGGTAGTAGTGTAAAGTGTCCCCCCAGAACCACATGTGGAGCAGTACCATGCTCCTAATGGCCAAAACCCTCGGGTAGAGATGGGGAAGGGGCCTGGCGGGCTTGCTCCGAAAGGGAGGCGAGGGAAAGTGGGGAGGTGTGGCAGCCAGCCAGTCTCAGATGGTCTTTAGGGGCTGTGGGCCCTCTAGAGGAAGACGGGGTAGGGGGTCTACCTCCACCCTTACCCTCAGCCCAGTCTCATCGCTCTGGATCCCTCACTCCTCAAGCCACTGAAGGCTGAGTGAGAGGCACCCTGGCTGACCCCACTCACAGCTCCTTAGCCTTGCCTGGGAATACCCAGACGGGGGCATCGGAGCACACAGCCTGTGTGTGCCCCCTACGGCCAGAGAGCCGAAACTCATCTGTGTGCAGACGCCTCCTGCAGCCAGGATGACTCAGGTGCCTGGAGTCCCACGTTTGGCCTGGGTGAACCTTGAGCTCAGCAGCCCTGCCCCCTCCTGGAGGCCCAGAAGCAAGGTCAGCCTGAGGCACCCACTGACTACAGGACAGACAGGCTGGAGACGCAAAGGGCTCTCGCCCACGTGCTGAGCCAGATGAGCGGGACTCTGAGAATCAGCTCAGCCTGGGCAGGGTCTCGCGGCTAGAGAAGCCGAGGATCTGGGGGCTGCAAGGCCTGGCCTCCTTCCCCGGGTGGGAATCTTTTCCCACATACTCAAACTTTCCTCTTCTTCCCAAGGGCCCCAACCCATCATTGGGTAGTACTGCCCATTGGAAGGTTCTTTCTCTTCTGACTGAAACATCCCCATGCCCAGCTTGCCCATGCCTCCTGGGCTGCCTTCTAGAATCCCATACAATAAGCCCATCCTGCCTCCTGCCCAAGGGGCTCTTTCTAATCCTTGAAGAAGACACCTCTCCTGGACTTACGTCCTTTTTTCCAAGACTCTGCACCCCAGCACCTGACAACCTCCTCCCGGGGTGGGGAATTCCACACCCCTCAGCAAACTGGTCACCCTTGTCCAGACCAAATAAACTAGTTGGTGCCAGCTGCCCACCTACAGGTTTCTGTTCACCTACATCAAGGTTCACAGTGGTCCTTCCGGCACCCACATCACCCTGTTGACTCATCTTAAGCTTGCAATCAAACACCTGGGTCTTTTTCTCATAAACTGACATTAAGCCAGGTCTTCCCTAACTTGGCCCTGGACTGTTGAAGTTTTAAACCCAAGTCTAGTTCTCTACCTTTCCCTGTCAATCTGGTCATTCTGGGCCTGTAGTCCACAGATTGTGGAGAACCTTGCACCCTCTGAAAGTGTCCCCCAGCCCTGTGATCCAAGACAGGGCTGAGAGTGTAAAAGAGGAGAGGATCGGGCACAGACACCCGCCCCATCCGCTGACAGAACCCAGGCAGCAAGCGTTTGCTGAGCGCCATGCCAGCCAGTACAGGGCAGTGAGGTAGCCTCAATATTCGGAGAAGTCAGATGGGGTTGGAGTCCTTTTTATCATCCAGGGAGGGGTCTGGGTCCTACAGAGGCTCCTGAGGAAGGAAAGAAGGGAGGGGAGGAGGCAGGAAGAGCAGAAGGAGAAGAGTAATGTCTGTGATCCCACCACCTGCAGGCAGTTCGAGCTTTCCTCCCCATCCGCCCTTCTTCTGGGACCTCAATACCAGGACATAAAATGTTCTACCCCCTTCTTCTGCCCCACCCCTGGGGCTCGCAGCAATTCTTTACCCAGATTCCTGGATCTGTGCTCGGCTTCAGCCCCGTCATCATGTTTTCTTGCCTGCTTTGGGGCTGAGTCCCTGGCCTCTGCACAGGCTGCTGCCCACTGGGTACCTGCCTGAGCCACACGCTGCCACGGCCTTACCTGGGCATGCGTCTGTGTCTACGCAGAATGAGGGCTGCTGTCAGATGTGTACATGAGTCAGAGCTTGGGTGCCTGAAGCTTTTCATGACAAAGAATAAGGGGAAACTCAGCCAGATTGCCCATGGCTGTGCTTCCTCTAGGCATGAGTCTTGGGGGTTCCCTTCTGCACCCCATTCCCCATGGTGTTCAAGATTCCTGGTTCCTCAACTTCCTACCAGGCCAGAGCCAGCCTTGCTTTCTTATGTCTCTCCATGGTTTGGGGGATGAGGTGGGGGGCCTGATCCCCTGCGTATGGGAAGTGGCTTTAACACATGCCACTCATGAGCCCCCAAAATGTCCGTTTGACACCTCCTGCTGAGATGTACTGCCAACTCCCAGCACCCCTCAAAACATCTTCCTCTCTCTGCAAGGGTACTTCGCCAAACAAATACCTCTTGGTAAGGAAGAAGAGACAGTGTCCCAAGTCCTAACCCTCCCTAAACCTGGGTTCTGAGAAGATGGGTTCTCTGGGTCCTGGGGACATGTCCCACTGTGTTGAGTTTAAATGAGCAATGAGTCAATCAACCTTGATGTTGTGGACAGTAAGGATTTGCATGGTTCTCATAAAGGGCCTTCTGGCCAGAGAGGCTGGCTGCAGCCAGGCTCCTGGCCCAAGGGAGGTGGAGTCCAGCCCTGCTGACTGGCTCAAGTCTGCATTGCTACTCCTCAGTCTCAACTTCTACTCCCTCTTTGCTCTGCATGAAGACTGCTTAGCTCACTGTTTTCCCCTGTAATTCCTGCTGAATCCCAGTATGAGCCAAATGGCTGCATTCAGGGACGATATTGGAAATAGCTCCCAACACAGAGGGTGAACCCAAGAGAGGCTCCAGGCAGCCAAGGGCATTGGGAGGAGGCAGGAGCTCAGGAAGGGCGCAGGAGTGTCCAAGTGTCCACTGAGGCTCAGAGAGAGACTTGCCTCAAGTCCCAGAATCCGAGGTCCCTGGTCTGCTCAGGAGCTGCTTGCAGCGCAGTTCAGCACCCAGCTTTGCAAGTCCATCTTGTGTAAGACCCAGAAGGCCTGCCTCCAGGAGCCTGCCATCTAGTGAGGAGACAGACGCCCAACCCCGAATGCTGGAGGATGTAACTCCAGGTGGAAGAGCTAGGAACGAGGAGGATGGGCGACTGAGTGGGGCCTTGAAGGAAGCATAGGAGTTAGACATGGGCAAACCCGGGAAGAAAGGACCGCTCAGCAAAAGGAACAGTTAGAGCAAAGTCTTAGAGACAGGAATGTCAGAAGCAGGCAGCTGGCAGAACGATGAACGGGGCAGAGGGGCTGCCTAAAGCGATAAAGTAGGAGATGAGATTTGAAAGGTCAGAGGAATACGCATTTCACAGAGGTTTAAAGGCCCTGTCGGGAGTTTAGACCTCACCGTGCAAGTCCATGGTTGTCAAACGATAGAACCATCTTCCGAAACTAAAGCTCTGTGTGAAATGCCACAGGAGATACGAGTGGAGAGCTCCAGTTCACAGGCAAGGAGGGGAGATGAACCCCACTCCTTCCCCTACCCTGGGGTAAAGAAAGCTGTACAGGATGCCCTGTGATTGGTTCTGAAATTTAGCAACACGTTAAACATTTTTCCCTAAGAGGAGCAGGTAAGAAGCTAAGGAGAGAATGCAGGTAAGCCTCATTTTTCTTGAGCTCTGCATTGTACTCTGTTGAATGCACTGAGGTTGCCTTACTCCAGTCTTCTACTGATGAGCTTTATCACAAACACGATGTTTTCTTATAAGTGAAATTGAAAAAAAAAAAAGGTAAAGATGAAAAGAAAGGTTGCTTGTAGGTACTGGGGCGCCAGTAAAGGGCTTTAAGCAGGACACTGATGTGATGGGATTGCAGGTTGCAAATCTCATGCTGTCCTCGGTGTAGGAGCTGGACAGTAGCAGAGCAGTTGGCAGGAAGGGGACCCGCGCAGAAGCAGTAGCCCTGAGCATTAGGGCGAAGAACTGCTTGCCTGAGGCTGTGGCAGAGGGATGCCAGGGCGGGCAGAGGCAGAGGAGGCGGCATCTGGCTCTGCCATCGCACTGCTGTATTCCCCAGCCCCTTCCCTCAGAGCCACCTGCCCAGGTATCAGAAGGAAAGACCTCCTTTGGGGAATGGGACTGCCCACCATTGAGAGTGAATGTATGACCCACAGCTGGGGCCCCTGAGAGGCTAGGAAATACCAGCTCCCCCAATCCCCCACCACCCCATTTGTGCATGAGGGACCCTCATGGACAGAAAGTCAGCACCAGACCACCCAGAGCCCAGGGCAGAGTACCCTCTCCCAGCCGCGCCCTCCCTGGGGCCCCTCATTTACAGAAGAGTCTTTTTGAACCCATCTACCTGGTTATAAATGGTTTTGAATTGCCATGGGGAGGGGTCTCCTTCGGGGAGGGGTGGGAAGAACAGGGCTGGGAAGTGAGGAGGAGCAGGTGCAGGGGGACAGCTGTGAGTGAAAGGTATGAAAACAGACACCGTGTCTTCCTTTGCGGTTAGCTGGGTAAACAACCTGCGCAGGGGGGCGGAGCGGGGAGGGGGGAGCTTCCGGAGACTGAGCGGCACATCCCCCTCACCTGGAACAGGCTCCCCTCCGTCCCCCCCTCGCACCTCCCTGCGGCTCCCTCCCTTCTGCCCCTGGGCTTTCTCCTCCTGAGGCTCTCCTGCTGCCAGCAGAGAAGGGCACGGAGCAGGCAGTCTGCTGCTGAGGGCAAGTGCACGGGGAGGGGAGGAGTGGGGGCAGGCCTGGGTGCTGCCTGGTGGTGGAAGTACCGGCTCTGAGTTAGATCAACTTGAGTTCAGACAGACCTGATTTTCAGCAAAACACAGGAAGACAGTCAGGGAGAGGGGGACAAATCAAGAGAAGCCAGCAGGTTACTTCAGCATCGGCCCCCTCAGCAGGCTCCGGGGTTTCGTGGTGCCCACGGTTTCCGTGCCCACTGCGCTGTTCAGATTTGGAACAGATGGCCCCTGGCCCCGACCAGATCCACTCCCAGAACTGAAGTCCTGATCCCAGCCTCTGAGCCTGCAGCCTTCCAAACCTGAGGACAGTAAACACAAAATAACTAAGAGGTACACAGCCCTTCAGAGTTTACGAAGCACATCCACACCATACTTGGCCTTCCATTTTCATCAGTGCCCTGTGAGGAAATTTCCTTTTACAGATGAAAACTGAATTCGGAGGAGGCAAACTGATTTGTTCGAGGACTCACAGGGGAAATTGGGATTTGACCAGGGGAACGTATCGGGAGAGCAGGGACAGGGCAGTTCGCCTGGGGGTACCGGAGAACTCTACCAGGGAGGCAGGGTCTCTCTCCTGGGGGGCGACAGGTCCTCAGTTCCCACTCTCCTGTCTCCTTGCCTTTGCAGTACAAGGAACTGGGCAACTTCAGTGACAGCACGGAGCCCCCCGTGGTGGAAAATCACCTCTGCCCCACCGTGGAGGGGCCCCTCCTGACCTCCTTCAAGGCCTTGTTCATGCCCGTGGCGTATGGCCTCATCTTCCTCCTGGGTATGATGGGCAACATCCTGGTGCTGGTGATCCTGGAGCGGCACCGGCAAACGCGCAGCTCCACGGAGACCTTCCTGTTCCACCTGGCGGCGGCCGACCTCCTGCTGGTCTTCATCCTGCCCTTCGCTGTGGCCGAGGGCTCCGTGGGCTGGCTCCTGGGCACCTTCCTCTGCAAAGCTGTGATTGCTCTGCACAAGATCAACTTCTACTGCGGCAGCCTGCTGCTGGCCTGCATCGCTGTGGACCGCTACCTGGCCATCGTCCACGCCGTCCACGCCTACCGCCACCGCCGCCTCCTCTCCGTCCACATCACCTGTGCAGCCATCTGGCTGGCGGGCTTCCTCTTCGCCTTGCCAGAGGTTCTCTTTGCCAAGGTCAGCCAACCCCACCACAACGACTCTCTGCCGCGCTGCACCTTCTCACAAGAGAGCCAAGCCGAAACCAACGCCTGGTTCACCTCCCGCTTCCTCTACCACGTGGGAGGATTCCTGATGCCAATGCTGGTGATGGGCTGGTGCTATGTGGGAGTGGTCCACAGGCTGTGCCAGGCCCAGCGGCGTCCTCAGCGCCAGAAAGCGGTCAGGGTGGCCATCCTGGTGACGAGCGTCTTCTTTCTCTGCTGGTCACCCTACCACATTGTCATCTTCCTGGACACCCTGGCGAGGCTGAGGGCCATGGGCAACACCTGTGAGCTGAATGGCTATTTCTCTGTGGCCATCACCATGAGTGAGTTCCTCGGTGTGGCCCACTGCTGCCTCAATCCCATGCTCTACACTTTCGCTGGTGTCAAGTTCCGCAGTGACCTGTCACGGCTGCTGACCAAACTGGGCTGTGCCGGCCCCGCCTCCCTGTGCCAGCATTTCCCTAGTTGGCGCAAGAGCAGCCTCTCTGAGTCAGAGAATGCCACCTCCCTCACCACCTTCTAGCTCCCAGCCCCTTTGTTTCTGCTTTCCTTGGCGAATGCAGCGATGCTGGGCCCCTTGTAAAAGGAGCTGGGGTCCTAAGAGCTCACCTTGGCCAGTGTCCTCACATGCGGCAGCCAGATGAACCAGCCCTCTCTCCCGGTCATCCCTGCCAGCTCTTCTCCCGGCCTTGGGGCTAGGCTGGGGTCAGAGGCAAAGCAAAGACACCTGTGCCTGTCTGAATCTCCTCAGGCTGAGGGGACCCTGTCTCAATCAGCCAAAGCTCGAGAAACAGCTTCTACTGCTGCCCTTACCTCTAGGGAACGTCAGCTCCCGCCCAGAAGGCACACCGTCCTCTCCTGGGTCACTACACAATGACCCACTTCTCCTAGAAACTGAGCGCCAGGGGATGGATGGAGGTTAAGGCTGACAACAGGCCAGCTGGCAACATGGTGTGGCCTTAACACGTCTGTCTTTACCAAACAAGTTCTGCCAGGCCACCAGCCCTGCAGCACCTTGACCAAGCAGGAAGCTCAGACGGACCCAGTCCAGGTAGCTGCCCCTGGCTCTGGCCAAAATGGCACTGGGCCAGCCCCCTGTCCCTGGGCTCTGCGGAGATCTGCAGACAGGGCAGACCAGCCAGTGTCCTGGGGAAGAGCTCAGGCTGGGCCAGCGGAGAGGAGCCACAGAAAGAAGATGGTCCTCCCCCAGCTCCAGGGAGGGAAAGTGTAAAGGGAAGCCGGCTGTCTTCTCTGCCCTGGGTGGAGAGCTTCCTGCGTAGGCCCTGGGGGTCTGGGCATTGATGGGGAAGGAGGTAGACTTGTTCCTCCCTGTCCAGCTCACTGCAAACTACACAGATGGGGCGAGTCCTTGGGCAGCAGTGGGGACTCACAACAGCGGGGGAGCACTTAGCCAAGAGCCCTCTGAGGAGCAAGACAGACTGAAAGAGGCCTCTGGGGGTCATCTCTTCCAGCCCCCTTGCCTGCAAGCCAAGCCCAGAGAGCCATGTGGCACCCCCTTAGGCTGGGAGGTGTGAAAGGCAGGCCTGGGCAGGGAAGTCCCCAGTTCCTGGGCAGGAAGCTGGGCCCTGCCCCCGAGAGGATACTACTCAGACGGAACCAGAGGAAGCCACTCCTCGCTTGCCACCCACCACCCGGAGGGCTCTCCCTCCCTCTGCCCGGGCCTCCAGTGGGGAACGCTGCACGTGCAGAGGGCACATCTGGGTAGCCAAGTCCCACTCAAGTCAGTCAGCCAGGCCCCCTCGGACACCCCCATGGGGGAAATCAGAGCTGTGACCCAGGGAACTGTCTTCACCATGGAACACTGGGGAAGCCCTAGGGCCCCCATTTTTCCTCCCAGCACCCAATAGTAAGCTGGGCTGTGGAAGCAAAAAGTAAGCCAGAGGTTGGAGTTTTAATTTTCTCTTTTTAATAAAAAGGCACCTATAAAACAGGTCAATACAGTACAGGCAGCACAGAGACCCCCGGAACAAGCCTAAAAATTGTTTCAAAATAAAAACCAAGAAGATGTCTTCACATATTGTATTTATATATTTATATATATATTTATATATTTATATAATGGTACAAAATGGCTGGGGGTATGGCCATGGATGGAAGAAGGGGGCTGGCTGTGGCGTTCACCTTGAAAGCTAGTCTGGGTGGGAGATGGGAGATGGGAAGGGCATTGAGCCCTTTGCAGTCGAACCCCCCTCCTCTGGGCAGGAAACACTTCAAAGTGAGTTTGGGGCATCTCGGGTTGAGGGTGCTCACGAGTCCAGGGCCCAGGTTGAGGCAGGGCAGGCAAAGCGCCTGGCAGGATGGAGGGCAGGTGGCCCTGGAAACAGAGGCCTGGGCAGTCCCTGGGAGGTATGGGGGGAGGCGGGAGCCTGCAGCCATCCCCGGAGGAAGCTCCTGACCTGCCGGCGGTGACTGAAGACAGCACCGGACTGGGAAAGGTGGGGGCAGATTCCCTTTATGTCACAGCTGCCACTGGGAGAGGGCCCTGCGGTCAGCAAGGCTGTGTCCAGAAGCAGCCCCTGGGCGTGGAGGCAGGGCATAAAGGCCTCACCAGGAGCTGCCCTGCCACCTCGCAGGGCAGGAAGGGAAGTTAGAAAAGAAGTGTTTTACTCCTGGGGCCAAGGGGGCAAAACACCCGGTTGTGTATGGCTTCAGCTCTTCTGGGCAAGAGGGGCAGAGGCTGCGCCTGGGGGTGGCCCAGAGCCGTCTGCCCTGGGCGCCCCCTCCAACGCTTTCTCTATCCCTTTCTCAGGGGGTGGCTGCTGGAGGGGGAAACACCTCAGCCAGACCCTTTTCCTTCCTCCTTGGGTGAAAAGGTGGCAGCCTCGGGAAGAATCAGAGCCTGGGGATCACCTGGCCCAGGGCTGCTGCAGCGGGCATGGGACCAGCGGGCCACCGGGCCACCTCCTCCAGGGCCCACTTAAGGGGGCCACACTGCCTCCAACTGCTGCCTCCTTTCCTTCATCCCAGACTGGGGACCAAGAACTTCCAGTTCTGGCTAAGATGTAGCAGGAGGGGACACCAGACAACCCAGCTGGGAAGCCAGGGCCTTGTGTCCCCTGTGTGGGGCAAACACGCATGTGTGTGCACGCACTCTCCTGAATCACTCAGCAGCAGACAGGCTGCTGTCCTGGGGGGGTGGTCTCAGCCCTGCGGGGGTCTCCAGGTGGAAGCCTGGGTGATCTGACCTCAGTTTAGGTGTGGGGTATCTATGTTCATTTCACCATTTGGGGTGGGGACCAGAATGGCATCCTTTATGGACCCAGAGACACTGCAAACAGCGGGTAGATGTGTGGGACTGCACGTCCCAGGGTCCAGGGGAATGGAACGGGTAATAACTTGAAGAAGGGAAGAAGGGTTTCTTGTATCCTTTTTTTGTGTGACTTCTATCAAAACACAGAAATACAGCACACACACACACACACCGGCACAAAAGCGCAGCGCTCTATTTACAGCTCTGGCTGGCACCTGCCCACCTGGCCAGCCGCCTGCAGGGAGGGGTGGGAGAGGGGGTCAGCCACATCAGCAGGAAAAGGGAGAGGGCAGGAAAAGACAGAAGGAAATTGGGGTGGGAGCAGAAAAGTCAGGAGGAAAGTGAAGCTCCAGCAATGGAGAGACAACCACACACCGGCAGAAAGTAAAGGGACGAAAAGGAGGACCCCTCTCCCCAAGGATCAGACACGGGGCTCCAAAAGCAGAGCTGAAGAGGGTGGGTGTGGAGAGAGAGGGAACTAGAAGCTCCACAGGACTTGGGGGGAGGGGCAGCCCTAGTGGCCGAAATGGAACAAACCCCAATCTAAAATCCCCTGCCCCACTCTGCCACGGCCCCCTAGGCTGCCAGCACATCTGATTTCCACAAATGCCACTCCCCACACAAGTCCCCTCCCACCCCACCCTTTGACCCAGGCCGTCCCAACACTGGAGGGGAAGAAAGTTTTTTAAGGTTATCGTACTTGCAATATCGTCCCAGCTCCAGCCCCCTGCAGGGACTAGAAGGGCAGGTTGGCCATGCTGCCGGGCGCCGGGAGGTAGCCCATCTGGCTGTCCAGAGACACACTGCGCTGCCGCAGGGGGTGGGACACCATGAGGTTCTGCGGGGGCGGGGGGCCCATGAGGGAGGCCTGTGGGGACAGCATGTGGGGAGGCTGGCTGTAGACCTCGCCCCCCACGCCCCGCTGCTTCATCAGCATGAAATTCTGCTGGGTCATGAGGCCTTGAGGAGGGGACATGACCCCCTGGTGCAGGCCATGGGGCACCATGCCCTGCTGTGGGGGCACACCTGTCCTGCCCAGCAAGGACATCTGTCCGGGGTGGCACATGGACATGTTGAGCCCCCGCTGGACACCCTGCTGGCCTGGGAGGTTGGGGGGCCGTGATGGGGTCTGCTCCGCCATCATGTTCTGCAGGTTCATGAGATGCAGATTGGGGGGCTGGGCCTTTGGGGGCTGGTTCTCGCTCTTGGGGAAGTACTGGAGGGTGCTGCTCGGCTTCTCAGAGGGGATGATCCTTGACAAGTCGAACTCAGGGATCCCCGTCGGGGTGGGCCGGATCACCTCGCTCAGCTCGGGGTCATTCAGCACCGATGCCACCCCAGGAAGCACGCCTGGCGGGTACGCGTCGCCCATGCGCCCAGCCATGCCTTTGCCCATCAGGTGCTGCTGGGGGGGCATGGGGCCTGGCTGCTGGCTGGGCAGGTCCTCTGGGGGCAGGGGCATGCCTGAAGGGTAGTGCTGCTGTAGGCCAGGCCCCCCACCCCCACCCCCACCGGGGGCCATGGTGCCATGGGGCTGCTGCAGCCGAGGGGGGAAGGGCATCATCTGGGAGGAGCTGGGCACAGGGCCGCAGGAGGCATTCAGGGAGTCTGGGCCCCCTGGAGCCATCATCATTGAGTTCTGAGGGGGCCCTCCTGTCCCCTGTGCATTGGGGTGCAGTGGAATGTTGGAGCCCAGAGGGGTGGGGGAGGGCAACATGGTTGGTGGGGGCTCGTGGGACAGGGGCTGCTGGCCTGGCAGGCTCATGCCCATGGGGCTCTGGGAAGCAGCTGAGTTCAGGTGCATCTGGGTGGGCTGGTTATTGCTGATGCCTGTGGGGAAAGAGGAGAGAGGGTCAGGAGCTGTGTGCGCCCAGAGCGAAGTCCTCCTCAGTCCCCAGCCAGGCCGCTGCCCAGGGTGAGGACTTTCACCACTGGCCTGTCCTGGCTGGGAGGGGAGAGCCCCGGGCTCTGGCCCAGTGTGCCGTGGGCACATCGTTGGGTGGCGGAAAGACCACTCAAGTGCTCCGGGCTTGCTTCCACTGAGGACTGCCTGTGGGCACTGTGTCCAGGACACCACAGCCCACTCCCGGGGCCCTCTGGAAGCAGCGGAAGGCAGCATGACCACAGGGGTGACTGGTGGCTGCGGCAACTCTCCCCATTCCCCGCAGCCCCCCTCTGTCCTCACACCTGGCCCAGAGCCCTGTGGTGGTGGCGGCAGCAGGGGCCGGTCAGGCAGCAGCTCGTCGTCCGAGGTGGCGATGGTCTTGATGGCATTGTGGTAGAGCGGGGTGGAGCTGGGCATGGCATACTTGGACATTTGGGACATCATCAGTGACAGGGGGTTCTGGGAGGGCGTGGGGTCTGGGGAGGAAGTGAAAGGCAGGCTGGGGTTCAGGAGGCCGCTGGGGGGGTTGGCGGGAGGTGCAGAGGAGCTGCTCCGGGGGCCGCTGGGTGGAAGGGCACCTACAGAAGCAGGGAGACAGGAAGAGTGGGGTGACTGGGGAGGAGAAGATGAATCTGACTGCTCACATTGTGGGTCAGCTCCCCAGTCTCCACCTGCGCCTTCCAGGCACACCTCTGCTCACATGTCCCCATCAACACAAGGCCCCCGTTATCACAACAGCCCATCCCTCCTCAAGCAATTTCTGCAGCCTCAGGGCCTTAGACAATGAGATTTCAAGCATGATCACCTCAAAATGCCGGGGAGCCTAATATGGCGCTTCCTGTGAAAGTCCACACATAGCTGCCAACCACTGCCCTTCAACTGAAGCCACAGTGCTCTGAGTGCCACTGCCTCTGGGCCCTTTACTCGCTCCCTCCCCAGCATGAATACGCCCACCTAGGAGGCTCCCAGTGCCAGAGCCCAGCCCCCTTTGCCGAGGCCAGCTGACTCACCCTGTTCCATGTTCCCCAGGGTGGTGGAAGAGTTCATATGGAGAGGCGGCTGCTTGTTCTGGGGGACTCCAGGGCTCGGCATCGCTGTCTTGGGTGAGGCAACCCAGCCCGGGGAAGGCACCGCCATGGAGGGAGACTTGAGCCTGCTGGGCGAGCCGGTGGGTGAACGGACACTGAGGGAGGAGCTGAGGACTTGGGGTGACTTGAGAGGTCCTGGTGGGTTGGCCGAGGGCAAGGGCACCATCTGTGAGGGAGTCTGGGGTGACTTGAGGTTGGCAGAGGGCGAGGTGACCAGCGGTGAGTGTACCTGGCTAAGGGTGGGCGACTTCAGATGCCCCATGCCTGGTGAGCCCATCTGATTAATACTGATGGTGAGGTCTGACGGCCGTCTACCCAGGCCCCGGTTTGGGGCTGAATGCACGGACCCGGGAGGATTGGACGCAGCAGGCAGAGGCATGTGACTCAGCCGGGTGGTGCCCACAGTGCCCATGGGCATTGGGCTCTGGTCGGGGCTGAACATGTCTTGAGTGCTGCCCATGTCCTGGGGCACTGCTTGGTAGGGTCCCTGGCTCCCGCTGAAGCCCTGCTGGCCCTGGCTGGGAAACTGTGAGGGCATGAGCATCTTCTGCGGGCCGCCCATCATGCTGCTGCTGCTCTGGGCCCGCAGCCGGGCCACCTCCTCGGGGCTGAGGCCCTGCGGCCCCATCACGTCCGCGGGGCCCCGCACCTTCTGGGCCATGAGCAGCTGCTGCTGCGGGGTCATCTGCACATTCAGGTTCATGTTCATGTTCATGTTCACGTTCATGTTCATGTTGAGGTTGCCCGGCCCCAGAGGTGGGTCCGCCTCCCTCAGGCCCGACTGCCCC